GGTCTGGATGATTGTGGGTTAGTTTGGTTAAATTAAAGATCTTTTGAGAAAAATACAAAACATTTTTCATGACGGTTGAGATGCACAAATGTTATGAAAAAATTATAAATATATGTACCAAAGAAATCTCACATGCAACCGTGGTCAACGAAACAAAAAAGAAAACAATAAAAATTTGATAAAAACATATGAGAAAAGAATGTGCATCTTAATAGAGAAAGAGGCAACATTTGGGAATAAGTAAACCTTAAACAAACCTATGTGCGAAAAAAAAAGTAGAATTTTTTGTGAGTCGAGCATATGTTGTATATGTGTCAAGTTTATGTCCACGTTTGTCCTACCAAACTTGTTGAGCTTGTCTCCTTCTGAGCTTGTCTCCACATTTATCTTGCAGAGCTTTTCTTGTGTCGAGCTTGTTTCTTATTTCCTATAGAGCTTGTGTCAACATTTCTCTTGTCGATCTTGTATCCTGCTAAGCTTCTGTAGGTTGTCTCTTACTGAGCTTGGTGAGGTTCTCTACTGTTGAGCTTGTTGTTTGTCTCCACCGAGCTTGCGACACGTTTCTCCTGTCGAGCTTGTTTGCACTTCTAGCGTTTAGGTCAAGGTGAAGAACTAGACTGGGTAGCAAGCTATTGGGTTGTCAAGCTGGCGGGATGGTGAAATCTTGATTAGGAAACAAAAAGACCTTGTTTATACTTTTGGAAATTGGTCGTCCGGGTTGATGGTTTGTGTTCTAGCATGTTAGGTGACCGTCTAGGTTGTTAATGACCATCTCGATTGATGGCTTGTCGTCTAGTCTATTTGTTGACTGTCCAAATTGATGGTCTACCGCCCACTCTGTTAGGTGACCGTCCAGATTAATGGCTAATTGTGGGTTTATTAGTTGACAGTTTGGGTTGTGATTGTCGCCGACTTTGTGGTTGATTGAATGATTATAGGTACAATTGCTTTGATTTTAAATGTGAATTTGGTTTATGAATTCGTAAACGATTCCAATATTATGGTCAACAATTTGGAAAAAAAATGCAAAAGCAAACATGCAAATGATGCACAAAACCCTTATGAATCTTAATATATCACTAAAAATGGTTAACTATAATTTTATGGTGGGTTGAGCTTATGTTGTATATGGGCCAAGCTTGTCTCCATGTTTCTTCTATTAAGCTTGTGTCCGGCCGAGCTTGCTAAGGTTGTCTTATGTTGAGCTTGTGTCAACGTTTCTCCTAGTGAGCTTGTTTCATGTCAAGTTTGCTGATTGTCTTTTGTCAAGCTTGCATGTCTCTTGAGCTTGCTTCGTGAGGTGGTCTCCTCTTGAGCTTGTCACCATGTTTCTCTTGTCAAGCTTGTTGTTTGTCTCCTATTGAGTTTGTGTCAGTGTTTCTCCTATCGAGTTGATTTACACTTCTAGCATTTGGTTAAAGTGAAGAACTTAGTCGGGCCATGAGCTGCTAGGCTAGCATGATGGCGAAAACAAAAAAAAAATGGAAGAGTACAATTTCTAGTGCGTCGAGCTTATGTTGTACATGGGTCAAGTTTGTCTCTACGTTTGTCTTGTCGAACTTGTTGAGATTGTCACATGTGAGTTTTTGTCAACGTTTCTTCTGTCGAGTTTGTTTAATGCCAGGCTTGTTTTTATCCTCTACCGAGCTTGCTTTGTGCAAAAACATGCTACTTGTCTAGTCAAAAGTATTTCACATGCCCATAATTTTGCTTCATGATGTTTTCTTTTCAAACTTGCTCCATGTTACTCGTCGAGTTTGCTTCATATTTCTAGTGTTAAACTTGTGTTGGCGTTTCTCTTGCTAAGCTCATTTGTAGTTATAATGTCTTGTCAAAATGAAAATTTTGGCCATTGAGATGTTAGGCTACTAAGCTAGGAAGATTGGTTATATATCTTCGTGATATTAAGCTATTGACCATGTATCTTCATGATATGAAATTTGTGGAAGATAAAAAAAAAAGCATGTTTTACAATAAATTGGTACACTTTTTTTCCTTTTATAATTAAAGTTTTATACAAAAGTGAGTTGTTTTGATGACCTTAATTTTGTGATGATTTTAATTATATTATTTATACATTACGTCCAAATTATAATTTCTAAAAAAAGTATACCATCAATTTATCAAACATTTCAAACATAATTACTATATGTAATCAACAAACTTATTGCATTTTATAATTTATGACCAAATAGTAATATAACACATATTATATTATTAATGTATATTTTTATTTACAAAAGATACTGAGAAGGTAATCTAATTATCATCTAATTACTATTTTTTATAAGAAGTTAATATCGTTTTAAAAAATTAGTTGAAATTATGTTCAATAAGTAAATAGTGAAAACAAATTTTACATAAACTAAAATATTTAGAATTCTAGATATAGTCACGTACTCGATATTTTATCTAATAAGTTAGAAGAAGAATATTCAGAATATTTACAAAGTATACAAGTTATTATATAGATTAAATAAAAACATTACTACATTTCATCTTATTTCGTAAAAGTAAAGCCGATAGAATATATATATTTGATTCACTCCGTAAAATAGATTACACAAAGTTAAAAAAAAAAAAAAAAACTGATCTAAAGACATTAAAATGAACCTATTTTGATTATATAGTATTTAATATGGGACAAACTTGGATCAAACTGATTCATGAAACTATATTTAAATTATTATGATTATATTAGAATATACACTGTTTTTGAAAATTAAATATCTAATTATACTTTTTAGTATTTTTAAATGGAAAAACTAATAATAACATCTTTAAAAAATGATATTAATTTAATCCCTATAAAATATAAACATGATTTTGTCCATCTCAGTTTTTAGTTAGTTAAACAACAACATCACATGGCTAATGGCTTCAACACGTGGATTAAACAACCAGTAAGTTTTTGCTTTATACAACAACCCATCTAATGCTTCGTTTATATCTACCACGTCCATCCCATAAAATAATAATTATATTTTTTTAAAATTTAAATGATTTTATTTTAAAACATGTATTGTTTTATATTTTATATTTTATATTTAATTACATATTAGATAATTATAACTGAAATTTCAAAGTTAAATTAATAATATTTAAACCTTAAAATTATATATTTAATTTTAATTTTTTTAGTTTACTTAATATTTTTAATTTTTGAAACAAACAAAAAGGACATATTCGGGACCAGACTGAAAAGTGCAGCTTATTTAGAAAATACTATGGACATTTTTTAAGCGATGCTTTAAGTTAGAATAAAACATGTGACAACTCTAATTATCTTAGTTAGAGCTAAATCATAATTTTCACATCTTATGTTTCTTTTTGTTTCTCAGACTTGTAAAATGATGATATTGATAATGATTATCATTATTTCAGAAACTATATATGATTAATCGAATTGCAACCTGAAAACTAGAAAGTTTGAGATGATAGAAAATGTTAATGTCAACTTCATAAGTTTGTAGCATCGGTTCAATTTTATCATTATATCAATTATTTCTGAAGTTTTCCCCCAAAATAAATCAAAAATTGTGTTGTCAATAAATAAAAGGGATAATTATTCTCTTAATTCACATGTAATGTAAAAGCTATACAATAAAAAAAATTATATCATTATCTTGTAAACAGTAAAGATTAATTTGACAAAAAAATTATACTTAATTTAAATAAATTATCTTTACCTATAATTATTGATTAAAATACGCTACTAGATCACTTAGTACTATTTCTTACAACTTCAGCCAAGACTATTTTTTAAAAGACAAATAAACAGTATAAACTCCAAAGCCGCTCTGAAAATATGCAATGAAGTGCGTCATGTTAAAAGATCTATTCTCAACAACAAAAATAAAAATCTAATACCCTAAGACTAAGTCAGATCTATTTCAAGATCACATTATTTTTTAAATTTTTTATGCAAGTCTCCATGATAATAATGACATGGTTCAATTTTTCCTGTCACCCATCATTTTCCTATTTATTATTGGTTATTCTCCATTTTATATCCGTTGATCATAGATTAATTATACCTAATACCACCGTAATATTATTAATTTTTCCACTCCTTTTTCATTACTTTTAACAACCAAACATACATTAATTTCTTTTTCCTCACTCCAAATGTATTATAGAATATTTCAGTATATAAGTGAGTAGAGTCGAGAGAGACACATTTCTATTATCTTTTTCTTCTTTTTTATTGTTTCTGAATCACTTATTCTAACTTCTTCAAGTTCAAACTAAACAGTGAATACCTGTTAAAAGCACTTTGACGCTTAAGTCAGATTTTACTTAATGAACTTAATTTATAGTTAAGTATTAAAACTCAATTAAAGGAACTTTATCTTGGTAGCTTACCCCTGTATTTATAAGTATTTCGTGAACCTTAAATTGATGTTGATCCAATAACAAATATATTTTGTGGACCTAAAATTGATGTTGACCCAATTATAACATAACACTCACATACTCACTTCACCTACTTAATTTATAATTTAATAAATAAACCGAACAGTCTTAAATATAGGTAAGAATCGCCGAAGATAATTTATTGCGTAGCTTACCTCGAATACTACCATATACCATACAAAATATTCTTTTTATAATGTATAATTATTATTCTTATCCAATCTAACAAATATATTAAAGGCTTAAATGTTTACTTTGCCCCTTATCTAACAAATATATTAAAGACTTAAATTCTTACTTCACCCCTTGTTAGGAGGTGAATTTCTGTTTAGTATCCAGAAAAATGTAGACATTTGATCCCTATGTTTTCAAATTTATATCAATTTAGTTCTATCCGTTAAGTTAGTAATGACGTTAATTTCACCCTTAGTTGGCTGCACTTTTTTTCTCTCTTCCTTCCACATTTTTCTCTCTCTTCTCTATTTCTCTCACCATTAACTACCTGCTACATTTTTCTCTCTCTTCCACCGTTAACTTCTCCTCTTCCTGCCACATCTTAAACACCTCCTGAGGGGAAAAAAACAATAGAGCTATTAAAACTTACAAACAATTTAATGTCAAAGCACAATGGTAACAAAGATGAAAAAGCAAAAATACCAAACAACAAAAGTAAGAGATAAGAATAGACCTGTCCAAGATTGGTACCATGGAGCTCCTTCAAGGTAGGCCTGTACTCCCCTTCGGTGCACGACCAGTATAGAAAACAAGAATCTTTTTCATTCCGATCAAAGCAGAACCAGACTTAATCTTTCGATCCTTCCCCGTTGCTTTCCAATACCCATGTGTCCTACCTCGGTTCAACCTGTGCCCATTGGGATACTTCCGATCCTGCGGACAAAAGAAGAACCACTCTGGATCCTTGTTCCGTACCACTGACAAATCTACATCAAACAAACCCCATCCCAACAAGCACGAACAATATAAGCAAATCAAACAGCATAGCCACTTTCCACATCAATGTTTACCAATAATTCCATATCTAACAATTCAAAACTGCCTTTCTTCCTCAAAATAAGAACCAAACTTAAATACACTACCATAGAAATTTGATCTCCAATTAAAATCCACACTTCATCCTTAAACCATCTTCTAATCAACAAGATAAAATGTTGATTATGATTACAGAACAACAAAATTTGTACTCAATTTTAGTTCAAAAGAAGCATCATTAAAAGAAAGAACTAACCCATCAACAGTATAAGAATCTCAGTATAGCAAAAAAACTAAAAATTTCCAATTACACAAAAACTCCAACTAAAATTTCCAGATAAAATAAGAAAAGAAGATACCAGGCAAATCCCAGGACTCCCATTTGCAGACATCAATCTCACGGATAACCCAGACATCGTCCTCGTTTCCGTTGATCTTCGAGCGCAGGTAGTAATCGATAAGCTCTTCATCAGTGGGACGGAAACGAAAGCCCAGCGGCAGCGTATTGAGAGACAGCATCGCCGTACGCGGTGGCGGGTAACACTCGACAACGGCACCCATGAGGGTGAAAATTTAAAAACTCAATAAAAAATTAAGTTACTTTAATAAACACATTTATAATCTTCAATCATTAATTTTTAAAAACATTCATTCATCATAACGTAAATAAAAAGTTTACGACAATAACTTTTTTTAAGTAAAATCTTATTACTTTGGTCAGGTGAAGTGTTATATATATATATATATATAATTTTAAAAGTATAAAGAATGTGACTGACAATTAAAATATAGATAAATTATCGAAAGAGAATCATATATAATGGTGACGGGAAGAGTAGAAGTTAACTGTGGAAAGAGAGAAAAAGGTGGAAGATAATTAATTACGAGAGAAATAGAAAAAAGAGAGAAAAAGATCACAAGAAGAGAGTAGAGGAGAGAGAAAAAAGTAGAGTCATATAATCGTGAAGTTAACGTAGGTTTTATCCAATTAACGGATAAAACTGAATTATACAAATTTGAAAATATAATAACTAAATATCTACATTTTAAAACTAAATATTAAACAGAAATTTACCTTAACGTAGAAAGAAATAAGCATTTAAACCTATATTGAAAAACACGAAATCTATTAAACATCTTTTTATAAAACAGTTAAAACTTACATTTAGTTGAACAATATTTATTTATTATAACTAATCTCAAATTATTATTTAGGATAAAATATCATTATATTATTATTAATTATAATATTATTATATATTTGAAATAAATATTATTTTAATAAAAATATTCACCGTTATTTATTAGTATTATATAAAAAAATTCCACCTCCTAATTCCTTTCTTAGTTAAAAACGGAGGACAAAAAAACAATGTAGAGAGTGCTGACGCAAATGCAAAATTGGTGGAGAGGGCAATCAACGTACACGACTTGTCCCATATTATGTCTTATCAATAAAAAATGACAACACATTTTCAAAAATTAAATTCTTTTCTGGTTCGTTTGTTGTCGGTTACTATCATATAAAAATAAAAATTAACTTTTATTTATATATACACTTTTTTTTATTGATGAAATGTCACGTTATACAAGAAAAGTGATTTGAATACCTTTTACTTCCTGTTTTAAAAATGATAGAAACATGTTTTAGTTGCATTTCAAATTCAGCGATGCTTAATACGATATACTGTTTTTATAACAACATCTTTTCCATCTAATAAATAATTTTTAGTGTACAACTTTTCTTTTCCATAAAAAAATTAAACCAGTGAACACCAGAAAATAGTTATGGTTTCACGAAATCACATAAAACTAGTATATGAATATATATATTCTCTTAACCGACTGAACGCTATAAGAATCGTCTTTGATCATATCAACGTGATACTAACTGTGGAGGGCAAATCAAAAGTGCTTAAATAACATATCATAAAAAGTGCTTCTATTCGTGAAGAAATTAAAATTATCCAGTTACCAACATTTTCTAAGTATTTTAAATTACTTATGCAATGGTAAGTTTTAGCATCTCTTTTTTTAGCTTTGCTTCAGATACACTCATTCACTTAAAAAGAACAGTCATCGTGGTTTCTTCTAACAGTATTATTCTAAGGAGGTTGTCTACTTTTTAAAAAAGCATGTTAGATCTTATGTTTTTCTTTTTTTACTTTTTTTATTATCTAATGATGATTATTTTCAGAACACCTTAATAAAAGTGTAATTGTAGAGTTAATTCATACATTATGAAGGATAAATCAGTGAAAGAATCGGTTGTTTATGCCGACAAAGTCATTAGTTAGCTCTGTTGTTGGATAGGAAGTGCGATTGAAGCATTCTTATTGCTGACGAAATTACTTTTTTTTTTTTTTTGCTGCAATTTTTCTAGGTTGCTTATAAAACTAGGTCACCTTGTTCTCATGTTAACCTAAAATTTTGGCTTGTTTTGTAAGCAAGTACCCATACTTTTATGAATGGATATAGCCGGTATTTGTATTTGTACTTGATGTTGGGTTAGCTTTTTGTATCGTTTAGCTTCTTTTAGGATAAAAATAAAAATAAAAAAAAGTGGTCATTTATCAAACATTAAAGGGCTCCTCATTGAAAATATATATGAATGTATGTATATTGAGTGTATAAGGATGCCCGTATTCACAGATTGAAATTTAACTTGAAATCAACATATTGGAGATGACTATTATTCCGTAATATATATTTGTTGGAATAAAAAAAATACGTATATAATAATAACAAAAGTTTATGTCTAGAATTTAGAATAAATTATTGAAATTAAAGTTTTAAATAAGGTTGACCTGATTATATGATTTTTTAAAACTATTTAGATCTAATGATAAAGGTTTAGTATGAGTTGGTGGGTGAGGTTGAAACAACAACTAGGAAAGAAGGAGAAAAGGAGGAAAAATAAAAAACGAAATCGAAGTGGTGACTATTTTCCTAATGTTTGTATTTTATGGGAGAGTCAAAATTTCCTAAACATTTAAACTTTTCTTTGGGAAGTGTAAAACTATCTAATTGCGTATTTTTGGTTAGTGAAAATATGATTGGTTGAAGGTTGAAAGAGTGCGACAAGTGTGTCTTCTACTGCCAATGCGAAATTGGTGCAAAGACGGCACGCAATAGAAGTAACCATGGATCCATCACCAACCCACAAAACGCTAAACACAACCAAATCAAACCGAACAAGGTTGCCTTTTCCATTTGGAATACCTCAACCACTGTTTTCTCCTATTCACTTTACACACGCATACTACCTATACATATATTTCAACCTTTTCAAATGCCTCCACCGTCTCCTATTCACTTATAACTTCAAACTTTATAACAAAATCCTTAAGAACCGTTTCATTATTGTCTCAACTCTAACCATGAGAACTACTTGCTTCTTAAGCCTTCCCCCTCCCACTTCAAACCAACCTTCCAAAGCTTCTCCCATCCCCGCAAAGCCACCTCGTCTTTCATCGTAAGTTTAACGTTTATACATTTGTTGTTTTCGTTATGTGTCTTACAATCTAACGTTTATACATTTGTTGTAAAGGGTGGAAAACGACGCATGTTGTTGGAAGAGACGATGCGTTGTGATGGGAGTGGCTTCCTACGTGATTGGCGTAGAAATCTGCAATTCATTCACACTATCTCATGAAATGCATCAAATCACCACCTTCCCGATTGCTCACCAAGTATCCAATGTTTCTGACACCGCCGCCAAATGGAGCCAGAAAAGAACGTGCCCTCCCTGGCAAGGCAATTCACTCGAAACCATCGTGCCGGAGAATCTTCCACGGCCCTCCGCACGCCGGCGGTACGAGGCCGTCCGTTCCTCCTCCAAGACTGCGCCGCCGCTCTCCGCCCCAACTAAACTTATTCCAACCGACCACGGCAGTTGCTTCTCCATGTGAAATTCAACATGCAAATGCAATCATCACTTGCTTGTACATAATTATTATTTGTTATTAATAATTGATTCCCGTTTTACACGGATTAATTTCCTAATCGTATTCGTATGCACGTGTTTATCTTATTTCAATTGAAACTTCGAAAATATCTTACGAATAATTGCGTGTAGTTGTGGTAGTACTCCATTGGATTTATGCAGTTTAGTGATTGTAGTACGTGTAGTACAGATTTTTCTAGTTCGTTACCCTCTTAAACCATGAACAAACGTTGTACTACATTGTGAAACTTTTTTTTTCTCTTTTCATAACCCACTTAACTAAATATGTTGGGCCTATTGGGCCTTTTCCATCAGGCCATTTTTCACATCCAAAAACTAAAATACTGAAAACGTTGCAAACAGAAGCTTTTTATGATTATAAAGTAGAAGAAAGAGCATGGTAACAAAGTAAAGGAGAGTTAAGATGTATTAAAAAAACATTAAATTTGAAAGGAACATCGTGTTTCTAAAATTTATTTGTATATTTAATTTCATATTGATGACTCTGTTATCAATTTTTCAAAATATGTGAATTGCTTCTCCTTTTTTATATATAAATGAAATATTTCGTAACGTTTTTACAGTCACAAAGTTAAGAAAAGATTAAATTCACGAAATCCTTTTGTATTTTAACGAGTATTTTATAATTTTGAATATACATGGACGAAAATTAAGTTTAACGAAAAGTTAGTTTTACGTCATTAGCCTTGAAAAATAAAATATGCATTTGTATTTTTCCATTATAAATCCAATCACAAGAAATAAGTGCCACTAAAATTTCTTAAAGGTGAATGGTGTACTTATAAAAATACGGGTGTTTTTAACAGTCTTTTGTTGCTGGACCCAAAAAGTTGGCCCATAGAGAGATGGATCAATTGCTTGTAAGCAATGAATCGGATTTGTTTTAGTTTTTTTCTGTGTGTTACTTTATGTTTGAAAGTTGGGAAATTTATTCAAAAAGGATTTAATGAAAGTACAATTTAGATAAATTTAGACATCTGATTTAATTCTACTTAAAATTTCCCAAATTCCATTTAAGTGAATTTTATTAAACTTTAAATTTTATTAAAAGTAATAATTTATAATTAAATTTTAGAAAAAATATTACATAGTTCAATAAATTTATCAGAGGAAATATTCAGTATTGTGCGTAAAACATAACATTGTATGGTTAGATGTGATAAAAAAACGTGTTTAGATCATTATTGATATTGTTATTAATATTCAACACATAAGTGTAGAGAGGTTAGATGAACTAGTGGACAATATATTTAGGTGAAGGAACGAAATGTGATAAATTTTCACTCTTTTTTTTTTTGCCATTTTCTCCTTTTAAATTAATTTAAAATGTCACTTGTTAACCTGCCTATAAAATAGAACGACTTTCTATGGATTAAATAACAATATAGTTTTATTTTTTTCACATACATATGATATGATATCTTTAGACACTTTTTTAGAAGTATTTTTTGAAGAGAAAAAATAAACAAGGATTTTTATGCAAAATTTTAATTAGTTTATATAAATATATAAATTAAGAAACGAGAATTCAGTCAAATTATATAAAATATTTTATAAACTAATTTTTGTATAACTAGTTTTAGTTTATAGAGAATATAATTTATTCTTTACGATGTTTTTTTAAAAATTTTCTTTAATATATCTTGGATTTATTCAAATTATTCTAAAATATATTTTTAATCATTTTGAAAATCAATCCTTTATGTTTAATAACTCATTTTCATACTTTAATTTTTCTTTTTTTTTTTACTTAAGTTCGTTCTTTCGTAGACAATAGTAGATGTTTTTTAAATTTAGGTATTAAATTATAATTATTTTTTCTTCAATATGCTTACTTCCAAGAAAACTAAGAAAATAAAAAAAAATGACAATAAAAATGGTGATTTGGAGGAGAGTTTCATAAGTATGTGAGTTTCAAACATTACTTAGGTTTAGGTTGTATAATGCTTATATGTACGTGAGTTTCATCATATATTTTACACCTCTTAAACATACAAAGTATTCGAAATTGTATTTCAAAATTGAAAGAAAATACTGAAATTTAGAAGAAAAAATATCAAAGATCAAAATAGATTTTTGTGCAAAAGTAACAGTATGATGTATAAGACACACAGTGTACTTTCCAGAGTCATTTTTATTTTTAGAGAAATTCTGGTTCATTCAAAAATAGGAAAATTATAAGGAAAAAATGAAATACATATAAGTTAAATTGTTGTGAAATTGGTCACAATCAAATTTCTTTCTATATATATATTTCAAACTCATTATTTTTAATTGTTTTCTTGTTCCTTCTAAACTTATCTTTCTGTCTCCCTTATATAGCCTGTTGTACCTAGGTCACTAGGTACCTTGGGGAAGATGTCAAGGACAATATTAAATAAAATGCATTAACTATTTCTTCAAGTACAACTGCATTATTTTCTTGGGTGGATAAAAAAAAAATTTAATAACAAAATTACTTTAGAATATTTCGTTATTGCTTTTAAAATAGTATTACTTTAAATATAAGTTAAATCAACCTAATGAAAATTTTGTCATAAGTTGAGAAGTATTTGAACTTGTTGGAAGTCCCACATCGACTAGAGATAAGGTCAAATTAAAATATATAAGTGGGTGCAGACCTCACCTTACAAGCCGGTTTTGTGGGGATGAGTTAGGCCTCAAGTCCACTTCTAACATGGTATCAGAGTTATGGTTAGAGCCTATCCTAGCATTATTGATTGTTTGTTGGGCATATTGTTCCCACCCATTAACAAAAGCTTTCATAAATACTATCAACTTTTACATTATTGAGTGATTTCTTTTAAAGGGTTTATATACAAGAAATCATTTATATTTTTAAAGTGAATAACAAGAGTATGTGTTCAGAATGATGTTTAGGAAAAGATATAACATCGATGAGATATAAGTCTAATTATATAAAAGATTAGTATATTTTTTATCAAAAATTTTAAAGAGTTAATGAGTGTTTTATTATTATAAACTGTTTTACGTTTTTATTATCTAATGTAAAACTTAGTCTCACGCTTAAATTTTCAACAATGATACAGAAAAAATTAAGGATTTTATTTAAACTTAGGTGGATCTGTTTCTTAAAATAAAACTAATATTTTCCTCCCTATGGCTAACGTGTTAAATAGAAAAAAAAAAGTGGTAGATTGTGAAGAAGATAGAATCTGGAAAAGTAGATTGTGTGTGTCATATTTGAAAAACTCCAAAATTTAAAAGCATAATGAAGTTAAAGAGCCAGTGAATGTGTGTGATAGATTAGATGGAATGAAGGGTATCATTGTGTTTGAATTTTGAAGTGAGCTAAGCATGCAAGATCCATATATCTTAGCTTTTGTTTGTATACCCTTTTCTAGCCAATTCCATGATGGGTAACTTATTTCCAATCTGTTCACTTTAACGTATTTTTCTAGTCTCATAAAATTTTGTCATAGCATGTTTGAATGCATAATTTTCAAATATTTTGATTATAAAATGATTCTATTTTATATATCATAATTTCTTTGATTAACCAGTAGTTCCTTATAATTTTAAAGAGAAAATGAACAGGTAATAATTTTGTAAATATATATATAATTCAATTTTTTTATATTTTTTGTAAAATAAATTATTATACAGATAAGTAAATTAATTTGACTTTTATTCATATAAATAATTAGTTTAATACATTAATGTATTTTTTTAAATTTATTCATAATAATTATAATTTATTTATATTTCATGAAATACATTTTTTTATGATGTATGTATTTAGTGTAGTTACACATGCTTTGTATTCATCTGGTTTTTGTAAAGTAAATTTAGTCCATTTGAAAGTGGTTTAGTTAAATTAGTTAAAACATGGTTACCATTTTAAATAATATTTTCCCACGATTTTGGAAAATCAAATGAGTTACAAGTATACTACAAAATGTGAAACTATAATGGTAGTTGATTGAATGCGTTAATTAAATATATATATATATATATATATGATTAAAAAAATACTGAAAAGTGTAATTTGACCCCTACATTTGCATGGGGCCAAACACGTTATGAAGCAAACACATGTCACAAACCATGTGACCATAGTCCCATGTATAATTGGCTAGATTATTCTTTAAAGAGGAAAGTGCTCTCTAAGGAATTATTTGGATCGATATTCTTTCTAATCATTATAGAAAGAAATTTTCTGGTTAAATATATCTACAGCTGTGTAAACATAGGGCATAAAAATATTCTTAGCTATATATTATTGTTACTTTTTTTAACTTAGTTTTCTCCTTAGTACAGGTAAGGGTTATGAACCGAACATATTTTTTTATTTTATGTTTCAATTCTTTTTAGTAAGAATCGAAACCTGTTTTTATATTTTCTTGTTTTTAATTTTTTTTTATCTTTACATTTCTTTTTATCATAGAACTATCATGTTCTCCATCAATAAACAAATTCATCACTATTTTTTTCGCCTTGAACAAAAAATATTTGGAAAAACGCATTTGAAAAAATAAGTATGAAACAGAGAAGAAAATGTAAGACGAAAGAATGAATATTTAATCACTTTTAAAATGCAAAGAAAAAGAGTGCTAGTAACGAGAATATGGTGACACTTCGCATTTACTATGAGAAAGGGAAAGAAAGACAGTGAATGTGTGATGACGAAAATAATAATGTGATTCATGTTTGGCAACAGAAAAGAGATCAAATTGTTCGAAATCCAAGTGTGAGACATTGAATAAAAATGAGAAAGTAAAGTATTATATAAAGTTGAAATACCCATTAATCCATTGTCTTAAGGTTTTTTGTAGAAAGTGGTATCGACCCCTTATATGGTTGGACTTATGTCTCATTGATATTGTGTCTTCTATTGAACTTCCTCCTCAATAGTCCCAACACAAATTTGGCTGGAATGTAATTTTAACCATAGCATATGAATATAATTAAGTTATTTTAGAATCAAAACTTACAGTTGTACAAATGTTATAGTATTTTGAAAGACTTCTTTTTTTTTTTTTGAATTAAAAGATTCTGAGCAATTTCAAAATCTTCTTTTTTTAATAGTGTTAACTGAAATTTATAACACTTGTGTTTTTGCCACTTTCCAAGCAAT